AAAACTGTACCTCTAAAATCAATGGTTAGATGCTATTAAAAAAGCACACGAAAACGACAGAAAGAAACACTGTGCAAAGCATACCATCATTGGGATTGCATTGAACCTGTTGATTTTGCCAAATAAATAAATTAATAAATGCACTAGCTGACTCATTTTGCCCCGTGACCCATCTAGCCCCAGCTTACCCTATATAGGCCTATTTGAAAAGTTGCATGGGAACTTTCTTTACAGATTTATAAATATGTAGGGGAAATGTTGGCTTCGGCAATGCCTTAACCTATTATCGTCAGGGGGTAAACAAAGTCCTGGAACACTCAAATTTAGCCAATAGATGCTCCCAAACACAATGTATCCACATACCAAAATTGAGCTCTCAAGGACGTTGTTTACGCCCTGACGATAATAGCACAGACAAACAGACATAACACTCGCAAGTTGTTCATCGAACAAGCATTTAACGGTCAATTTAAAAGTAGCATAGTTGGTAGTACCGCCACCTGTGGCGCGCATAGTCAATTCCCTTGCGTTTGACGTTTGCACACTACCGCCATCTGTTCATCGTACTACCCACCACAGTGTACTCAACAGATGGCGGTAATGTTTTAGCAACGATGTTTTACAGTGAGAAATATTCAATGTGTTATGTCTGTTTGTCTGTGATAATAGGTTAAGGTATTGCCGAAGCCAACATTTCCCCTAGCATATTGTATAAGAATTACATTGCATTGCTGTTTGAACAGTTCACTGTCTAAAATCTAAGAGTTTACTCTCCGCATTAGTGTCGTGAGATTCTGCTTGGAGAAGTCTATAGTCCCACAGAATTTCCTCAAAGAGTTAGGTATGCTTCTATTCTAAGCTATAATTGAGGACTGCCAGGCCAAATAGCAAAAACAAATTAATTTTAGACTCCATTTGAAGTTTTTTGTAATATGTATTCAAAATGGCTCAATGAAAATTTTAGGCTTCATTTTTTCTGTGATTGATTTTTTCATCGCGTATTGGTCCGAATCAATGTGCCACTCGATAACATAGTTCTAGAAAAGAACTTTAGTGCAAATAAAGTACAAGTGATCGGATGAAATGCAATTCAAAGTATTTTTTTATCAGCATCCTTTTTGTCAGAGCTGTTATTAGGTGATTGGCAAGCTAGCCCGATGATTCTGATTGGAGGCGGATTGTGCAAGAGTTTTTTTTTTGAAGATCCGATGGAATGGTTTGATGTGTTGAGCTAGAATTAGGAGATGCAACAGTCTTCCAAGTTTTTGCTTCACGGGCAAACCATCGTTCATTTGGTGAGTTCGTTTCTGTTTATATATTCACCTGTTTCGGTTTCTACAACTTTGTCTTAGACATCATTTCGAAGAACCGCTTTCATGCTATATTTTGATGAGAAATCAAATGTGGAGCGCACTATTGTCGGGTATGGCCAAGTTCCAACATAGATTTGCCAATTGATTCATTCGGCAAGAGAGTTGTCCTAGCCCTTTTTTCTGGTTTTAGACGTTTGATGTTTTGTTCTGGAAAGTTCATGTGCTCATGATTTTGCCTGAAGAATTTTTGAACTAGTTTGGAAATAACCCGGAAAAGTCTTGGAAGTGGTTCAACAGTAGTGCATCAGAACAGTAAGAGATCAAAATTATGAAACTGGCTGAGATCTTCCCTTTATTTTCATGTATATGTTCTTATATTTTTTAAATTTATTTTCATTCTAATACTCTCTACTGAAATCTAGTTCTCACCTGTTCGTGATCAGCGTTGGAAAATTTTGCGAGGTTTTATGAAGCACACAAAAGGAAAAGTTCGCGAGTCATTGGCCCTTATTACCGATGTCACTTTACGGTGAAGTGACAATTTGTCACTCACGGTGAAGTGATTCCCATTTGATTTACATGGCAATCACTTCACCGTGAGTGACAACTGGTCACTTCACTTCACTTCGACCCGCTTTTTCTCAAGGGAAGATAGAACTAGGGTTCCTTCATCCATTTCCTTTCTCCTACGGCCTTTTATTCAATTTCTTTTCAGAACGCGATTAATGGCGCTATAACCATAAGCCATATGGGCTAGGACGAGAGTTAGTGCTCATGTCCCAACCACTCGAGGAAAATTGAGCATCACTTAACTTTTTTAGATTAGATTGTCCCAACCACCAATCATTTATAAATAACAATACAGCGGAACGTACGGTACGAGATGTCCACGTTTCTTCCATTTATTGGATTCTGAAGCATCGTGTTTTAATCTCTGATTTTAACAGGCCCGATGTTTCTAAATCATCTTGCCCCTAAAATGCTGCACAGTAGGCCTGGTTGTTTTGATATATTTTGCGCATCTCTGATGTTCAAAATATACCAAATAGACAAGAAAAAGGATGGAGGTATATCTTTCATTTTCCAGGATGCTTTCATGAACTGGCTGTGTTGATGTTAGATTAGATTAGATTAGATTAGATATTTAAAATGGCTCAATTTTAGTTAAAATGTGAATGATTGACCATATGTAATAAACTATTATGCACTGATTCATGAACATCAGAGAAGGTCCCATCAGATCAATTCGTCATTTGGCGTTTAACTCAATTACTCAAGACTTCAATACAAACCAAAGAGAAAATCAATGAAGAGAATCGATCAACGAGGATATGCTCTTTTCAAATGTTACTCGAGCTTTCTTCAGAATCTTCATAAGAAGCTTCTTTTAGAACCTTCTTTAGAGGTTTTTTTTTAGAGAATCATCTTTTAGAATACCTTTTTTTTATTGCGTTTATTTATAAGGCCTCCTCGCCTATTAGGCATTGCTTGGGCCGATGACCATTATTTACAATGAGATCCCTTCCCGCTTTTATTTTTCAAATAAAACGTATTATCCCCTATTTGATAAGTTGCATTATTTTCATCTAAACGATCTATTTGCTGACCAGTCTTCTGGGTGCACTGATCAGCACGAACTTTCTTTTTTTCGTTCTCCTTGTGTTTCGACAGCCGGCGTTTGTTGGTATTTTCATTGAAATCCTTTGTTGCGTTTGATGAGCTGGTGCTAGAGTTTTCGTCGTTGCTTGAAGTGTGATGATCCTCGGTTTGATTGTCGGTGTTTTGCTGTTGTTCTTCTGCTGAGAACCCGGTGAAAGCAGGAGATGATTGACCCGATGTCGTTGGCTGGTTTTGTTCGATATCAATCGACGGGAAATCATCGAGACTGAATACCCCCTCGGTTGGTGGAGCTGCTGGAGCGGTGCTATTGTTCGATGTGGCTACATACAATACATTTCTGTTTGGGATGTGCTGCTCGGCCACAATGGCGGCACGTTTTTGGTTGCTTGTCATACGTTACCAACGTTGTTTCGTTGTCGACCGTGATGTACGATGGAATGGCGCTTTCGAGTCGCATTCGCAAAACTCGAACACCGCTCATGAATCCAGGGAAGTAGTGCTTCCATTTCTCATGTCGACTGGAAATCACTGTCCCGTACTTTGCCATGTGGTTCATAACAGTGGCTTGTGGCCATGCCAGAGGAAGATCATGCACTCGAACGGTCACTGCTTTACAATCCACATATACCGGGATTTTGAACTCACTCTTCGCACAGAGAATCGCGTGTTTATAGTTGTGCGCCTTTTCATAGCGCAAGGCAACTTCATTGTCTATCATCTCAATAAAAACACAATTTCGGACATTATGAAACTGAATGCATCTAACGTCCGAATATTGAAGCTTAATATTGTTCTCGAAGAATTTTTGCACTTTTCCCGCATTGGGACGAACTGGAAGGACACTGAAGTCAACAACAAGTGTGTTTTTACGAACTACACTCATTTTCGCTACAATATTTCACCAAGTTAAGCAGAGCAGAAAGAGAACACGTCCGATGAATACGAGTAATGGCTGTCGAATGAGAATACCTTATTTCATTGTTTTTTCTTTTAATTCTACTACCTAAGAGATGAACCAGCCCAAGGCTGAAAATCTCTCTAATAAAGCAAAAAAATTCTACTACTATTGTATCACTTTCACTTCCACTAATTCACTATTTACTTTCACTGTCAGTTTAAAAAAAACTATAACAGATACGTATTTCGTTTACTACTTGCAAACTTCTTCAGTGTCTAGTCAGTCATAGAAGAAATCTAGTCACTGAAGAAGTTTGCAAGTAGTAACCGAAATACGCATCTGCCACAGTTTTTTTTTTAAGTGATAGTGAAAGTGAATGGTGAATTAGTGAAAGTGATTCAATAGTATAATTGAAATGAAAAACAACGTAATAAGGTATACAAGTATTCTACTAAAACGCTCAGCAATCAATTTAGATCTTTTAAAGATCGGATCTTTTAGTACAACGGAGTAGCTACCCTCGAGGCCCAAGGAAGACAACCCTATGTTCCTATCAGAGACGTGTTGGCAACCCGTGATCTCTGCTATATGCAGTCCGTTTTTTGTTTTTCTTCAAATGTCTAGTATAAGAATTTAATTCCTTTTGTCTTTTGTCTCTTTTTATTAGTTTTTTTTTGTCTTGTCCCCCCGTCTCGATGAGTCTCATCGTCGCCCACTGGTCACCCACCATAGCCGGTCGAACTCCGGACGAAGCTAGAACAGCACTACCGTTCATACTGGCGACAACGCTCTGATGAGACAACGAAACCCTACCCCAAGCTCCTCCCCTGATCCTATCCTTCGAAAATGTACCCTTCTAACCTCGAGTAAGCCGCGAGTAATCGGCCCAACTCCTACTAGACATAGAATAAAGTGAATTTTGTTACACACAGTGAACAATGAATTATCGGCTCCGTAAAGCTAACGCGATTGAGTTGGAAGGCTAAACGAACTAGATAAAAAAAATACAACGGAGTAGATACGCAGTAAAGGAGCATTTTTTTTCAAGGGTTCAATGAGCATTTCATCCTTTTAGTGGTACAAAAACCATTTTCTCTATTTAAAATGGAACTTTTCCGCTCTCAACACTCCTAAAATCTTAAAACCAATCCAAAGAAAGATCCACTCACCGACACAGTCGCTCGATCTTGAAATGCCGCACCGCCAATGTGTGATCCCAGCTGACGGCCGCCAGTGCGTCCCTAGCCTCTTGTTCGTTAGCTTCCTCTCCCAGCTCGGCCATCAGCGAGGCCACCTGCTGTTCCTGTTGCTGAGCCAACCGACCTAGTCTTCTTTGGATTTGTTGAGCCGACAACGGAGCCGCTGGGGCAGCCCGAATTGGCCTCAGCATTTCATCGTTCGATACTTCATCGTAGATCACAGGTTGTTGTTGTTGTTGATGTTGTTGTAATTGACTAACATTGTTGTAGATTTGCTGCTGTTGTTGGGGAGCAACATTGGAAGGAATTCGTTCGTAGTACGATGCAGGGGTGACTGCCACCGTGTCGTAGATGTCAGTACCAATGGTTGAATATCCATCGTTACCATTGTACACGCTGTTGTAGATGTTCTGAACTGGAACACTGGGTTGAGGAACTGCCGAGGCTTGTAGCTGTTGGGCAGCTAGGTTGATGGAGTTGACGTTCGGGGTAGAGCCGTACAACCGAGTATCGTTCTGGATTCGAGACAGGGGTCGATTCGAGACGGCCACGTAATTGTGGGTTACTTGAGATGATTGGCTGGGAAGGTTTCCGTACATCAGTTCGTTGCTGCTCAGCGACGTAGCACCATTGCGCTCCATCCACATTTGCGTTACCAAGCTGCTAGTGTCGACTGACTGTACGTTATTCTGCTTCTTCGGTGAAAGCATGCTTTGGGTGCTTTCGTAGTTCTTTCGTTGGAAGCTTTCAGCCGAGTTGTTCGCATAGATTTGCTGCAAGCTTGCGTTCAAGTTTTTACTGGCTCCAGCGGTCACCTCGTGGCCGTTCCCGTAAACAGCGGTGGCACTGCTACTTTCGTACTTGGACAACGAACTCATCAGACTAGATATATGGTTCACCGAACCGTTCTTGGCGTTCGATTTTGCAACGTACGCTTGCGAATGGTTCAAACTGTTCGATTCGTTTTTGTAGATGTCCTTTTCAAGCTCCGCCAGGAATGTTTTGTCTAGCTTTTTCGGGGTCAATTGCAACACACTTGGATCAGTTGTGTCTAGCGTGAGGCTGCTCAGGTTGACATCCAACGAATCGCTCAATCCCTGAGCGCTTCCATAGGAACTGCCGGAGGTGTTTAGTCCGGAGGAATTCATACTAGCCATCATTGAGCTGGAAAGTTCATCGAAGTCAGTAACTTTGCCATAGTTAGAATCGATCTTCGAAATAGCTCCCCTATTGACGTTGCCGTAGACTACTGCTGTGGAAGTTGTTGCCACGTTGGATGCTGCTTCATCCAAGGTCTGCTGTCTCTTGATTGAAGCCATCAAGTCTCTAGCGCTCACAACACTAGATGGTCCGCTCTCGTAGTCGGATGTCGCATTGGAAGCTACTTGATTTGCTGCGCTTTCCATCGAGAATACCGTCCGAGTATCGAACGGATCCGGTTCTGGGCTAAATTCCTCCAAGTTCATAGTATTTGTATACTTAGGTGGCATTTGATATGGTGGAGGCTGTAGCCGAATCGGTTGCTGTTCTTCTACCACCTGAACCGACAGCTGTAGGTGCTGATCTTGTAGTTCTTCCACCGTTGGAACATCTATCGGTTCATCCAAAATGCTAGTAAACTGCTTACTGACAGCCCCCATCGAAAACGATGAACTGGCAACACTGCCCGGATCTTCACCCGGCGATGATAGATCGATTAAAATTCCTTCCACCGACCCACCCGGGGGAAGATTGTGCGGTTGAGGTGGCCGGAGGGGACGGTTTTTACTATCCTTCACCAACTGCTGTTCTCGGTTGAGCTTGTGATTTTCGTTGACGAGCTTGTTGTAGGAAAACTGCTTCTGGGCATTACTTTTGCGCTCTTTGGCGTACTGCTCCGAAACGCACTTGCCTCGCCGATCGGTATTTAAGGTATTGTTCTTGCCTGGAAGGATCAAAGTTAGGTGAATCATGTTTTAGATAATGGTTTAGGTGTAGAGTGATTTACTTCGTAGCTTTACGTCTCCGTTGACTTCCAACGTGCTCGGATTACCCCAGCATGCACCGAAAGCAGCTCCGTGACCCGTGTGTCGGAACGAGTCGTGCAACGGACGGCTGATGGTACCGGATCCACCGCGCTGCTTTGACGAATCTACTGCAACATTTCTACAACGGAAGATGAGTGGGTTAATTTTTCAAACTAAACTATAGAATTGCAGTAGAATGCCATACCTCGGAAAGATTCCAATTTCATACGTGCGCTGATTTTGACCTTTGACAAACTGCAATTCCGTCCGGTCGTCTATGACTGCTATGCAATCGCCTTGCTCAACCGTCAAACGACTATCGGACTTGTAATTCATCACCGCTCGGTAGATCGGGGGCGGCGTACCAGAAAGGAATTCCCTAAAATGATAAAACTCGTATGATAAACATCATCTCGAAAGCCACCCACCAAAACTCCTTACTTGATAGCAGCAAAGGTTGGTCGCTCCGCCGGTGTCTTATCCCAGCACTGCAACATCAGTTGATACACATCCGGTGGGCATGCATCCGGATGGTGCAACCGTTCCCCTTCTCGGTCAATCTTTCTCAGAATCTGCGACCCGTTCAATCCCACCCAAGGATCCTCTCCAAAGGTGAACATCTCCCACAGAGTTACGGCAAACATCCACGTGTCCGAAGCGTGACTAAACTGTCGGTACCGGAGCGATTCCGGAGCACACCACGGAAAAGGAACCTTCTTGTGCTCTGTCATTACGTAGCAATCTTCCTGCTGGGGCAGTGCTCGCATCAAACCGAAATCCCCAATCTTAATCTTATTCCCCGAAGCCAACAGAACATTGCGACAGGCCAAATCTCTGTGCAGAAACCGTTTGCTTTCCAGGTACGCCATCCCCGTGGCCACCTGAACCGACCAGTTCCAAATGGTCGTAAGGGATGTATTTTTGCACTGCTTCCGCAGCGTGTCCAGTAGGGACCCATTCGCTGCCAGCTCCGTGACCATCATCATCGGTTGGGACAGCACCACACCATGCAATCGCACCAAGTTGGCATGATTCAGCGTATGCATTGCTTGAACCTCCTTGAAGAAATCCTCAATCACCCCGGGCTGTGCCAGGGTATCCGCTTTCAAAATCTTCACAGCCACCGGAACAATCTGCCCACCGGGAGCATTCCACTCTCCCCGTCTGACCACCCCGAACGAACCATCCCCCAGCTTCACCGACATGGTCACATCTTTCTCGTGGATCAAACATGTCAGCGCTAGGACCGACGGTTCCTCCGGTTCCCTCGTGACGGCAGTCTTCTTCTGAGGCTGCTGCTTGCCTCCTCCAATCAACTTGCACAGAATATTCCGTCGCCACTGTTGTGCTTTCTTCTTCTTGACGGCCTCCATCAACCGACGGATGCCGGGTTTTCCCAGGCCAATCTTCTCCAGATCGTCCACATGGACGTAGTCAAAGTGTGCCAACCGGGTGATTTGCAGCTCATCCCGTATCCGGGGCAGGAACTGCTCCAACTGAACGTCCTGCAGCAGCTCCTCCAACCAGACCGTGTCCGGATCGGACATTGTTGCGCTTGAGTTTATCTGAAAAGGAGAAATGAGATGTTTTTTTTAATTTAAGCCAAATGTGAATGGAATCGAGCGGGCGGATGTACAGTGCGCGATAATGGTCATGACGCTATCATACTGGTGAAGTGGTGATTGAGGGGAGAGAGAATTCTGAGAAATATCAGAAGGAAGCGAGCATGGATGGGTCACGGCCGTTCGGAAATTGTTATATGCTTTAAGCCAAATGGCAACCAAATGCTTTTTGATTGAATTATGATGAGTGTCGAAAGCATTCAAGACGCGTTGGATGATAGCTGATGTAGAGTGAACGTTACCTCTTCTATTTAAACATTGAGCTGTTAATTTTAAAAACTACTTGGAAATACATTTTTGAATGTTACCGGAGGGCGAAGAAGTTCTACGATGAGTTGAAGAAAAGATGATTGTTATGCAAAACCGGAGGGACAGCGCCAAATTTTATGCTCATAGAGAAATAATCCACTTCCGAGTAGGGAATAAGAAAGTCACCAGATAGTCTGTAAAAGCATTTTAAAATTTAATTCAATTCCTACTTCCGAACACACCAATGTAGGTAATTCACACGAAACTGACAGCCACGGCACAACGTAATAAGTTTCTTTCCCTTTCACTATCTTCATACTCCACTGAAGTTGACTGGTCATCACTTCGACTGGGCACTGCCGTTCGTGTGCATGTAAGCCTTTATGCTTCCGTTCTTTTTATTAGTCATATTGAAAATCTTCATCTAAACGGCTCTGTTGCTAGTTTTGTGGCATTCTCTATCTTGATTTGCAAAACACGCTGGGAATTTGTGATGATAACAATACTTTTGATGATAAAAATAAAAACGTCTTTCTCCTCCAGTTTCGGCTCTTCCTCATTTCGGACATCCCCGAGTTCAGTAAACGCAATTTTCGTGTTTTACTATTTTGTTTATGAATATTAATCGGACCGTTCAAATTATCCGATGATTTACTTTTCAATTCGCTTGTGGTTGCTTGACGTAAACCGGCTAATTATTGCTGCTCGGTTCGCTTTTATCAAACGATTAAATTGCGTGCTTCTGCTTGTGATGATCGCACACTCTAAATACAGTTTGTACGGAAGTTCGGACGACAAGTGCGAGAAGGAAATTATGAATTTTCAACGATAGATGCTTGATATTGAATTGATATTGTTTGAAAATATCGCTAATTCCGTTTCATAAATCATTACGTTTAAGTAATACAGGTCGGACTCGATTATCCGTGGGTTCGATTATCCGAGGGTTCGATTATCCGGAACCATTTTTCTGTTTTATTGGATTTGAGTTAGTAAAAACAAGAAGCATATGGTAAATGCAACAATCATTGATGCATTTTAACCATTTTGAGATTTGCTAAACGAAGTGATATGGAAAGGTAAGATGACGAAGGCATCCCGAGGTAACCATACCATGCCATCCATGCCAGCTGTGAGGGACCATACCTGGTAACTCATTGCATAGTTGAAAATTTGAATTGTTAAATTATTGCAAAGTTGAAGATTTTCAGAACAAAACCTGATCAACCCAAGGGGTATTCAACTCTGCACACCTGAATCCGTGCCGAGTGATTGAGCTGTGCCAAGCGCTATGCAGAACGTGGTTTTAATCAAAGTGTGCCAATATTCCATGAGTTTGGCAACCCCGGAGTTGTGACTTTTTTTTTATTGTGTTTACATTATCAATTTATCAGATGGATCAAGACAAGCATTCAGATCGGAAGGTGGTAAAGGGTGTCCACGATGAAATTGCCACACACAAAATTGATTCGCAAAATTCGAGTTTTCATCCGATTGCCATCAATTTTTCAGGGATTGAGAAATAACTATTAAACTTCATTTTACCATTTTACTCGTATTTTATTTACAGTCCATACGCAAATGCCCGCACCTTGGCCTTAACCCCGGCCATAAGATTCTGCACAACCTGTGAATCAACCTTTTTTGCATGTAAACCCATACTTTCTTCAGTTCCTCGACTGTCTTCACTACCTTAGGTCGTTTAAGAAGGTGCTGCTTCATAATCGCCCAGTACTTCTCGATGGGGCGGAGCTCCGGAGTGTTGGGAGGGTTGAACAGCACGTCCTTGGAGTAGTGGCATGAGGCCATTCCGGCTAGAAGATTGTTGGGACGTTGTGGGCCTTCAGGAGAGGAAGCAGCCGCTTCTGGAGGCACTCTTTTATGTACACCTGTCCGTTCATCGTGTCCTGGGTCACGAAAGGTGCACTCCGCTTCCCGCACGTGCAGATGGCTTGCCAAACCAGGAATTTCTTCGCAAATTTGGACATCTTCTGAGTGCGGACATGCTCCGGAACGCTGAACTTATCCTTGGCCGTGAAAAACAGGTTGCCGGGGATCTGTTTGAAGTCGGCCTTCACATATGTTTCGTCGTCCATGATGCAGCATTCAACTTTCGTCAGCATGTTGAGGTACAACTTCCTGGCACGGGTTTTGGCGGACTTGTTCTGCTTCTCGTCGGGATTAGGGGCCTTTTGTACCTTGAACGTTCGAAGCCCAGCCTTAGTTTTGGCCTTCTGGACAAAACTTCGGCTTAGGTGCAGCTTCTTAGCCACATCCCTAACGGAGGCGTTCGGATTTCGGTTGAAGGCCCCAACTACGCGATTGTGATTTTTGGTGTTGTACGGAATACTTTTTCCTTCACTTCTGGGCTTCCGATCGGTGGTCAACCGTTCCTCGAACCGCTTAATCACTCGCGACACCGTGAAATTCGCGATTCCCAACGTTTTAGCGATGGAACGATGCGAGAGATCCTTGTTCTCGTGATGAATGCGCAAGATTTTATCACGCACGAGCTGTTCTTTCGACTCCATTTCCGCGAGTTTTGATCACAGGACTTTAAAACTTGCAGGATGTAAATAATGCACTATGAACTAAATCCACCCAAATTTTCATTAAATTCTACCCAACGGTTAAAAAGTTAGAGCAATTTCATAGTGTAGCAATTTCATCGTGGACACCCTTTAGAGGACCTGTACGGTGTTCAACACGTCCACCAGATTCCGGATCGATGTCTCTAATGCTGATTCCTCCTGGCAGATGTACAGAAACGAAGGAGTAACCCGATAGATGATGGATGAAGCCACCTGCTCCCTGTAGAATTATTCCTGACTAAAGTAAAGTAAAGAATTTGAACGGGCGAGAATTCAATCCAACCGTAGGAGCAACATCCTCGGGAAGTTTTTAATAAAGCCTCAAATCAATTTTCAGTAATTAGCAAGGCCTTACAGTTGACCGATCGGTAGACCACCCATCGTTCTGGCGTCCCTTGATACGAGCTAGTTCAACAGAAGGATGATGTCAGAGATGCATCAGTAAAATGACCGGATCTGCTGAAGGGGATATGCTTGATGTCGGACTCGTGGAATAGAATGTAATTGCATTTTTAACTTCAATGATCCGTTCCTATAAATCCTATACTATTGCACTGAGGCAATCGTACTCCGATCCAGGTCTGATGGAATATGTGGGGTTAATGCGTATTGACTTCCCGCAGCAGTACTGGGACTTCATTCCAAATTATATGTACATCCCTATAATGTCCTGTGGATTCCCCATCGTAGCCAGTATCAATTGAGACCAATGACTTCGAACGTGTATAAACTGACGTTCATTGTCTCCAGGTTTGACCAACCGTCGGTCGCTGGAGGTAACCAGTTTCAGCCATCTTGACTGTCGTATCGACAAGACTCTCTCGACCGGCCATGGTGTGAATGAACTAGATTGAAGTCAGTTCCGAATCCAGAAGCTGTTCTGGATGAAGTCACGAACCACTGGTAATTTTACTGTGAATCGGATGAGACGGACTGAGTTTTGCTAGATTTAAAGAGATTCACGGTTCAGAGAATACTTACAGATTTTTTTCTGAGCGATCCTCTAAACCGGTTTGTCGTTCGTAAATTCTTGATTGAATCGTTGTTTTACCAGTTTTATATATGACAACAAATTCTCTCACTAGCTTCCCTGGGCTTTGGCAAAACCTTGAGGTAGTTTAATTAGGCTACCAGGTCCCAGGACTGATCTGGATCTTTACCACATTGGAAAGATGCACACTAGTGTTGCCAGATCAGTGTTGATGCTTACCAAAAGTGCATTTGAACCCGCTTATAAAAGCATATTAACAGATTAATCATCACCGTACATTGTTTATTGCTCTGTACTAATAATAAATGATTAAGACAGCATTTGATGTTTTAGTAGGAATGCTGGATTTAGTCGCAGTGGAAATCAATCCTTTATTGAATTGGATTTATTTCTATGGATATGCACGTTTGGAAAGTATCATCACAAAGATTCTGCACTCGGTCTTCAGCTTGTGGGCGGGAAGCGTTGTGTTTGTTTTTGTTTTTTTTTTTTATCTATTTATAGAGTCAATTCTTAGATACACGAAGCGAATGACAAATCAAGCATTAAGCACAAGACCTTCAAGAAAACTAACAACACGAAGTCTGGAAATGGCAATGTTTTATTCAAAATGTCAAGCATTTCAAGAATATCGGGTGAGACCAATCGCACCGGGCGCTCTTTCGGTAATCTGGAAGGGTTGTGCACGAGGAGCGATTTTAATCCCCCCCCCCCCCAGTTTTGAAGACATTCCGGAGTGAGGATCCATTATCTTATGTCAGAGGGATGATGGAAGTGGCATATCCAAAAACACAATACAACAAGAGAAGGAAGTAGGATTGAAGGTAAACAAGGAGTTCATGGGAACGTTGAAACTGTAAGTATACTCCGATCTATTCTAGTACTCTTGTATAAAACCTATTGTAAACCGGCTAGATCGTAAGCGTCGTCACCGGGACGCATAGTCATGTGAAGATTGCCGGATCCGTGATCACTCATGATAAAGCACACAAGGCTCTTAACATTAAATACATTGCACGGGTTGGGTCGCACAGAGGGTTGATAAGATGTACATTTCTTTGAAACACCCGCATGAACGATAACCATAAGGAGTGCCTAACAACCTATTCCAG